AAACACAGTAAATCAACATGAAGCTATCACTTAAACACCTGACAACTTCATGTAGACGTTCTTTTGTTGTGGACATTTGTAGGCATAAAACGTGTTACACTTCGTGCAAGCAGATTTGGCTTTTCGCCAAATCTTTATGCCTTCCAGGTGTTCCTCACTCTGGCATCAAGGAGAAGCCATGAAGCGATTTCGAGCATGGTGAAGAATGACATTCGCAAGTGTTTCCGGTTGTGCATGCTATTTCCGTGGAAAAAGCATCCATACAGGGTGCACCTGGTTCCCTTTCGTATACTTTGTCAATTACCTTGCTCCGTATATAGTGCTTCTACCTTTCTGGACAAGTGTCAGCTGCTGACAGTGTGATGCGCTTCCTGGTCCAGTGGAAACTGGTTGAACTGGTTACTAATGTTTGCGGATGGGCACTTGTCGCAGTGAGGAAAGTAGCACAAACACTCCATGAGGCTAGCATATTTAGCACTATTTAGCTACATTGGGGTGCTTGACCTGGGCTGAATGTAGGTATAGATGAAGGATTTGGGCATATTAACTGTACTATTGGACGTGTGAGAACATCAAGCGCAGGCCGCCTCAACCGGATGGGTGCAGCAAGCACCGACGTCTTCACCGAAGTCGTTTCGGGGGAGAGGACCGGGTGCCGGTCGACCACCGAACCTGAGGATATGGGACAGGAGCCCTAGGGCAGTAAGGTTGATAAATATGTTATATGTCCTTCCTAGATGTCAGGTAAGAACACATCCACAACAAATCATCACAAAACCATCACTCAAGTTCATGCAAAGGGCCCATGAAACAGCCACTTGATTCATGAAAAAACCGTCATTCTCATTATACCAAAGCACATCCTGGGTAGTCGCTTTGCACCCACTGCTCCGCTGTGTTCCCCTGATCCCTGCCTCGTCCTCCCGCGCTCGTCCAAGGCCCGGCAAGCTGATCGTCGCGCGCTGGAGCGGCGGCCGCTGGCGCTTCACGGCTCAGGCGGTGCCCGCCGTGGCGCCGCCCCTCACCGTGGCGAAGAAGTGACGAGGCGAGGGAGGGAGCTGAATGGGCGAAAGGCACCGTGAACAGACGGAGACGGGAGTGTTTTTTTGATTGGGCCCAAGGCGTGGACCCTGGGCCAAAACTGAAGATGGGCTCCGTTTTTTGATTTACAACATGTTTCAATGGGCTGCTGATTTGGCAGCGTGGGAACTCTGAGCATGTTTGGAGACCTGCATGTTTTTCAGTTAGACATACAGGCGTAGTCATGTCAGCGTGCACTGTTGAGTAGGAAACATTGTTCTAAGGCTTTGTTAGGCCCTGTTAGTTAAGGAGACCCCGCAGGGTCTAAAAAGGATGTACAATATATATAATAAATACTGTATCTAAATATACCTGGACCGTCAAGGGGTGGTCAATGGACAACCCTTGACCCCTAAGAGACTATTAATGGACACCCTTCCGTGGTGCTGGAAGGACTGCTCTTGGTTCTTCAGTTTCCGGGCAATAAGCAGCCCAAATCAGCTGGAAAATGTCAATTTCTCTGCAGCCGCACAGCAAACCCTTCCTTGGCCAAGATGAACCTACTAGAGCTGCCCTCTCCTTGAGATCCTTGAGCTGCACAGGCCTCTCATGAACGTCCAAGCCGGGTGAGGTGGAGGTGGGCACAAGACCCGGGGATGAATCGGACCAAACCATACCAACATTTATATACCAGCACATAAACATCACATTCTCGCACTACGTAGAGTCACTATACCCAGACATTCCATGTCCGTCATATGCCTACAACTGATCGGCATATATGGCATACATGGAGTGTCTGGGATAGATGAATCTCTCCCTCTCTCTCTCTCTATATATAAATGATGCCATTTTCGGCGAGTGGACGATCTGCCCACCGCTCCGGGGGCAGCTGAGCCGCGTGCCGCGCGGCTTTCCCCATGTGAGCTGGAGATGCGATGACCGACACTTGCCCAAACCAACCGAACGCGATGCAGGTTGACATGCACAGGTCGTGATGATGATTTTCCCAAGAGGTAATGAGGTAATGTAGACTCTTGATTATATAATACCCTCCGATTTGAATTGGAAATCCTCTTCATACGGGGGAGTTATGAATCAAGAGTCTACATTAGGTCGTTCAGGTTGGTTTGGGGGAGCTAATCCTTCTTATCGCCGCTGGTGCTGCGCCTGTTTTATTTTCCGAGTTGCTCGTGCGCCCGCGGCTCCTGGCTCGCATCTATCTTGTTTAATCAGGAATTTGAGATGGACATTGACATTGGACGGAGAGTTGTGAGGAACATTTCGTATTTCACACGAATCTAATACCATCACATCTTCTCCAAGTACCCAAAGAAGTCAATTCGAAGAGATCTATTGGGTGACGGTCTATTTTGGTGCCCCCCGTGCCTATACATTCCATATCATTCCATGACATTCCATGGAATAACACGTGAAACCACACGAACTGATCGGTCAATGCTATCGTACCTGGAGTGACTGTGGGGCCATCTCCTTCCACATCCTCTTCATCCTTGGGCCCCTGGGCCCCATCTGAGTGGGCCCTTGACTCGTAGCCTGGCCACGCAGGGGGGCAGGGGGTTGGATCATCAAAACCTTCACCAGCTGAGCCCTAGACTTCCAATCACTCTTAAATTAATTGGCGTTACACCGAACCAGCTCAGGATTTTACACGACAAACACCGGTTCAATCATCTTTTGAAAGGTCTTGGAAGGCTAGGGTGAGGGTCCATGATTCTTAGGGCGCCAAACTGCATTCAGACCTCGACCGGTGGCTGGGGCGATGGCAGCGGGTCACCAGCGGGTCACCACCGAAGCGTGGTCGACCAGGAACGTTCGGCGACGAACGACGAACGCCGTCAAAAGGGTGGAGGTCTGGGATGGTCTGGAGGGAACACCTATACTGGTCCCAAAATATATATAGATAGAAATTGAAACGGTTTCCAATACATTTTGAGTGAGGATCTACGAACTTCTAGCTATTTGAAGGTCTACACTACAGGAAACGCATCGTTTTGGAGGGCGATGGCGATGGTTCCAAATTTTCCTTCTTTTTGACCCATTCATGGAGGGAAAGGCACGCTAAATGGCTGGTCCGATGCTGGTGGGTTCCACATGCCTTTCGGAGCGCGTGCTGCAGCAGGCGATTGGGAGGTTCCAAACATGTCCCAGGGCATTCAGGCAAACCACGATGTCGCCGGAAACCAGTGGTTCCAAAGACGTCTAGCCATAGACCGAACGAAACCCTGCTGGTTCCTCATGATAGTGGTAACTGGGATCCGGATATGTTTGATGCTTCTTTCACATATCCAAAAAGCACAGATCGAACTTCACATGGTGAATCAGTGGTTCAGATGTGTGGGGCTGGTTCTAGAACCATGCCAACATGGGACTTGGAATGCTAGTGACTATACCCTAGATCTTCCAACTGTGCAACATTTATGCCTTTTCCATCCATATAGCCAGCCAAAAGGCAGGCGTTTTGCATAGTTGGAGGATCTAGGTATAGTCTAGCATAGATGGCCTGGCAAATCTCTCACAAGGTCGCGCTAGCGTGCTTCTGTGCGCTTTGACTTCAGAGCTGCTTGCACACGACCCAGAGGATCATTACACGGTACAAGGTCTTGAAGCATACTGTAATAATGATTAATATCAGTATTAATATATATATATATATAATGATACATATAAATGTATATATCCCTAGGGCCCCAAGTACCTCAGAAGGTATTTGGACCCTCCAAACCCACCCCAAACACCTTCTTAGAAGGTGGTACCCCAGCCCACACCGGGGATTTATCAAACACCGCATCAATCAGAGAACTAGGATGCTTCCATCATGGCTTCCATCCTAAATCCTTTGGTGGGAACTGGCGTCAGCTTCCTGTGCAGGAACAAAATAGCGTTTGCCGAGCTTCCGAGACGTCAAACAGAGAGTGCATTTGGATAAGGGTGGACTGTTTTGAGCAGCCACTCACTTCTTCGGTAGACGCAAACAGCTCATTTCATTGGCACAATGTGGTCCCTGGCTCTCTTCCAATGGTTCCTGAAAGTACTCACTGAACACAACGGGTGCTTGGATGGACCCCGATCTGCAGCCCTTTCTATAGCATTCCTTTGGTATTCCTATTCTTAGGCCCGAAAAGATCTTTGGTTCATAAGGGGTTAAACACTTAAAGCAAAACCCCTATAAAGGTTAAACACGATTAAGCCGTTAAACCCTTAGCAGAAGATCTGTTTGGACCGGCCCGATTTCGAGCCACGCCGTTTCGGTGTCCTCGCTTTAAACCGCCGCGCTCGCCCTTGGTTCAAGCAACGAAGAACGCGGTCGACCGATCTCAGTGGATTCCGAGCAAAAGCGATCTCAAACGGTGACTCTTCACATGAAGAAGAGCGAAATTCAAAGAGAGAGAGAGAGAGAGAGAGAGAACTCCTTGAGCAAAAGTCAGTGAGCTCCTGTGAAGTCTTGGAATATGTCCAGTGTAAAGCAGAACATATAACAGAATGTGCTTTATCAGCCTTCCAGCTGCTTTCAGTGCCCTTGAGCTATCGTTAGATCACCACAGCATACCACATCCTTATTTTTTATGTCCGATCAAACGGCATTTGTCCAGATGAGTGATAAGTCCGTGCCCCCCAAAAAAAACGGAAAAACATTAAGAATCGTAAGGTATTATGAGAATACCTTCGCAATTGGCCTTTTAATTCCTAGATGATCATTGCGCATACCCCGAGAGTTCGTGCCAAAAACACCTGAAGCAGTACCTGAAGCGGATCGTGGGGTTGTGTGAGTATGAATATATCTGGTGAATACACCCAGATCTATCAAGGTAAACACAGAGAACACAGAGCCTTCCATGAACCGATTCCTCGTGATTTGCGATGTTTTAGGCTCACCGAAGCCTGCAGCGTCAACCTGGGTGGGGTGAACCACGGAACCGGGAACCGCCCGGTGTCGCCGGCTTCGCCGCGTCGACGCCATGGGCGCGCCACTTCCTCCGGTCTACGCCTTGCGGACGACGGAGGAGAGACGGTCCCAGCGGGTGGAGGGAGGGAGATCGATGGAGGCTTTGCGGGATTGGGAAGTGGAAGATGATACAAAGGATGATGGAAGGATCCTCCTCTCGTCTCAGCCAGCCATGAAGAATCAGCTTCTCCATGTCTTTCTTTCTTTATTTTTCCCTCCGAGCTTCGTACTGCTTCTTCAACTGTGTGACCTTATTAAACCACTTTTTCCGCTGGGCTTCTGGTGCTCGCCAGGAAAATGGGGACCACTACAGATGTAGATGTAGACTTTCTGTTGCTTTGGTTTGGTCTCTTCATGTCTCATCCGCATTCTCCTCATGACCAAGGCGAATTCGCCGTGGTGACACCATCCGCGGCGTGGCGTTCCAAAGGGTCGCTCTTCCAGGGTCTGCGGTCTTTCACCACCCGTGGTAGCGGAGTCTTTCTGCGCATTCGTATACGGAACAAACATGAACAAACGACCCCGAACGCTCACAGCCCTAAGATGGAAAACATCAGGCCTCCTTCCTGGATGGCATTCTGCAGTCAGACGTCAGTCTTCTTGATGTTTTCGACCATTGCCATGCCCAAGATGAGACAACTTCAATGCGTGGGTTCAGATGGCACGGCCATTTCCCGCAAACCCTCCGCCACTACCTGGCGCCCTGGCGCAGGTGTGGCAGGCGCCAGCGGCCGACAGCAGCCGGCTCTTCACCCTTCAGGCAGCCGGACGAAGCTCAAAGGGCTTGGGCGGGAAGATGTCTCGATTGGACAAGGTAGGTCTCCTGTTCGTCAGGACAAGCCGTTGGAAGTGCCGTTGGAACATGTTGTTGGAACGCCTGGAAGTGTTGGTGGATCAGGTCTTCATTGGCTTTTAAACCCCCGCTGGGTTTCTTCCGTGTGAATCCCCGGAACCGGCAGAATTCGGTGGTTTTCCCAGTTCCTCAAGTAAGCCAATCCAAGACAGTCCTCGTTTTCCTACTCGTTCCAGCTTTGGAGCCGCCTGGGTCAATGGCAGGTGGTTTGGGTGACAGGTTTCCGCCTGGTCCTCGGAAAGCCCATGTAGTGCGAAAGACAGCTGACCAGAGGAAGAAGCTTCCAACGGTTGAAGAACCCTGGTTCGATGATCCCATGATATGGGACCTCCAGTGATTTTTGGGTCCTTTGTCAGGTCACCATACCAGTCCAAAGACCCAGTAAAGCCTGTTTTTGTTTACCTCCTTAAGTATTGGTTTTGCATGACAATCCCCAGTAAATGAGGTCTTTGACATGTAGGGTCACTTAACCTTTGTCGCTTCCACCGGAGTTGACCCTTCTACGAGCTCCACAGTGACAAGTCCTGGCAGCTCCTGGAACAGAGAGGTCCACACTGCCGCGAGTTCGGGGGCACCTTCCGCCATTCATTTTCGGTGGAGTTCGACCCAGTGGCAAGCTTAAGAGAAGGCATGAGAAGGCACTTAGGACTTGGGAGAAGGTACCACAGCAAGCTGTAACCAAAAGCCAACACTCCAGGAAGAGGCAAGGGAAGGGCTGAGCGCTCCAAAGTGTAGCTTTGGATGGCCCATAGTGAGCAGAAGAACTCCATGGTCTCGTTGGTGTAGCATGTGGTGCACACTTGTGGTTGATTGATTTGTGTGCCACCCGCTTTCATCCCTGTGATCTTGCAGTGCTCAAAAACGAGGACCCCAAAAGCCCAGCCCTGCTACTTCGTAGCAGGGCTAACCGTTCCTCAACTTGGTTGCTCCCTCCCTTTCGACGTGTCCCCGACCTACGTTCAGTCGTATCGCCTCTTCGAAAGCACCAAGCCCCGAAGCACCGAACGCATCAACACCCTCCCCTCCATCATGCTTCGACATGCTTCGACCTCCATCGACCGGACAAAAGCCCTGGTGACCTGCCGCACCCAGGTGCCGACCTCCATCTACCCCACCGTTCTCCGGAGTCACCCGCGGACACATCCCGGAGCACCTCCGGTCTCCCCTCCGGAGACTGACCGCCATTCTCCTTCCGGCGCCCACACGACCCACGGCGCCTTCCATCGCCAGGAAGGCCGAGAGGTCCGTCGGCTCACCGCGGGCCGCCGGGGATCTGACGGGCTCCTCTACGTGCCCATCGCGCCGCGAGGCGGGGGTCAGGCAGTGTTGGCGATACCTGGAGTCAGTTCGTGAATGGAGGTCTGATTTCGTCTCATTGAGTTGGTTTACTTGTTCATTTTTTTCACCTTTTGGAAGTTGCGACTGTGCGACTCATAGAACACTGAACGTATTTGAACGCGATACTAAATACATAGATCTAAATTGTAATTGTTTCAATTATCTAATATTATATATATATAAACTATTTGTTACATTTCTATATAATACACATTAGCATTATGACGTGTTTCAGATGCTCATCGCTAGACCGTTTATGCCGTTTTCTGAGCACTGTTGGGCAGTTTTCTGAGCACAGTTGGGATTTCCTGTTCAACCTTGTTCAACCGTTAAACCATTTCACTTTGCTTATCATTGTTTCATATATAAGGGCGAGGTGAAGTGCTTATGCAGTGCATAAGCACTTCTCAGGCAGTGGCAGAGAGTTGTTGATTCGGGTTCGAATCTCATTTCCTGACGTGACTTTGTCCCCAAGGGAGGGCGGAGGACAGGATGAGGGATGATGAGGGAACTGATGGACACAGTGGCGGTCTTGTGCAGACTCAACTTGCTTTGTGACATGTGACATTTGCTCCCGCTCCGCACCCTACTTGCACAACATTGAGCTGGGCCAGTTACTACTAAACCCAGGCGCCCTCAGCTCGGCGCCCGCCCTCCAGGATGGGTCAAGGCCGAGGACTTGGACGCGGCGGACTCCGCGGCGGACTCCACGGCAGCTCCAGGTTGGGCGGACGGGGGGGGTCGGTTCCGGCGAGGGGTTGCGGAGGATGTAGCCCCCTGTGCGGACGAACTACCATCGACCATGTGCCGTGGAGTTCGTCATTGGAAGCTCTTAAAAGGCTCTCAGGACCGTGAGTCACATGGTCTAATTGCATCCCTCGAAAACAGACGGCGCGATGTTTCATGGGATTTGTTGAACCCGACGGGACTCCGGATCTGTACCAGGCAGTTTTTTTTTCGCCTTGGCGAGCAGATGCTAGCAAGCCAAAAACTGGTGCATGCCATGGCTTCATTCCGGACCCCTACAAGTCCAGTCTGACCCAGTAAAATCTGTGATTTTGTTAAACCTCCTTAAGTATTGGTTTTGTAATCCCCAGTAAAATGAGGTCTTTGACATGTACGGGACTGTGCCGCCTCCACCAACCAGCGGAAAGGGAACCCAGAAAGGTGGAACCTTCCAACCCCACCGATGCCACACGCCGGATCGGACCGTCACTGATAACATTTGAATACGTGTGCATGAGTGTACATGAGTGTACTTTGTTCGAACTGCGCTCTTTGTTCGGAGTTGGTCATATATGTATACTCGTATATGGTACCAGCACCTTCATGTCGGGGTCTCCAATGGAAGCCCCCACACTACTAAGGGACCTCCATTGGACACCCCGAAAGAAGGTCCAGGTAGGTTGCCTTCTGGTCTTACACATGCCGGCTGCCAGCGCGACCTGAAGTCGTTCGTGACCCCGTGTGGACTCGACCGTCGCTTTGGATGGTCAAATCATGTCAAGTCCTTCCAGTGGTGCGGCTGAAACGGCAGAACCTTGACCAGAGACGGCTGTCTCGTTTCTCCGCTTTGGCGGGCACTGCTTGGTTTACAAGGGCGACGCCGACGGGCGTGTACGGCCGCCCCGTGGGCGTCAAAGACGTCAGTGATATTCACGCAGAGTAGCCAGAGCAGGAAGGCCGCCAAACATGAACCCAACGGTGTGAGTGAAGACCGCCCAGTTTGTTCGGTGGACACCGCCCAGTCGAGACTTCGTGGCCGAAGTCTCATTTCCAAACAACGGCGCAGCTGTGTGTGCCTTTTGGAAGCCAAACCGCTTGGCTCCTGGTTGAGTGACAGTTTAGCGGGTATACAGGTGGAATGAAATGGACAGTTCACAGGATGTTCATGTATTTTTGAGTGATGAGTGTTGTTCCATATTGTTTTATCGAATACCTCATGAATGACGGAAGTTCTTCCATTTTCTCAACCAAGCCTGGGGAGAGACGCCAGGTGTGAAGGAGAGCTCCAGCCAGTGCTCGAGCAGCATCGGAGAATGAGGAAATGTAGCGGGTGCCCACCAAACGGGATAGACGGGAATCGGGTTCTCCCTAACAACTCAACTCAACCTTTAATATTTGTCCTCTTTGGGATTCGCTCCCCTGCAAATTGGGCTCTCTCATCTCGGAAATATCTACTCTCGGGATCTCGTAGCGGGCCCATAACTACCGATCTGGATGGGGGCATCCCACCAGGGTGGACGCCTATAATTGGAGGATTGGACATTGCATCTTGGAGTTTTGAGGGGGAAACCTGTGCCACTTCTGAAAGAAGAAGCAAGAGAGAGGTTCGGTGACCGTAAAGGACCCCACCACGGTACCTATTAGTCGAACTAGGGTTCTTCAACCTCTGGCCGTAGCTACCAGGTTCGCCATGCAGGCCACAGGGCGCCAGGTCCGACCTCGGGTCGGCTCGACGGCTGGCCCCGCTTCGATCGGTTTCGAGCGTACAGGTCTTGTTGGTTTCGAAAGATGTAAGGTCGTAGTTCGGGGGACGTCGACAGTCAGTCAGATCTATTGACTCTTTTGATCTCTGATGTTTTCCATCAGACATGAGGTGTGGCGTGTAAGCTTGACCCCAAGAGTCATTATAGATGCATTTGGGTAAAGAGCGACGGTGAACCATGTCCTCCCTTTCTGTCTTAAATGTTCTTCTCCGACGTTCCCAAGGCTGAAGGCTGCGGTCAGCAGCTTGGGCGGTCAGCAGCTTGGCCGCCGAGATCCCGACGAGAGGCCGAAGAAGTGGGTTCCGGGCTTCTGCCGCCAGCATTTGCGGCGTCTCTGATCCCAGCACCTCCTTCTGATCTCCATGTTCACTTGGCAAAAGTCAGCTACAGTGCAAGAGGGGTGACCTTGGGGGAAAGAAAGAGAGGCGTTGCCATGATGCCATGTCCATGTGAAGAAGAAGACAGGTGCCATGCCCTTGGTACAAATCTGCAGTCTTTGAACGTTTTTCCCTACCCCACTCCTGTGTGGATAGAGGTGGCCTCACATAAAGAGGCCACCTCCTGGAAGAATTTCTCTCCCCTTACCTTCTGTGGCGAACCCATCCGCCCTCGCAGCCTATGTAGCCCGGAGCCGCCGATTGCCAGGTCAGATCCAGCGCCCGTGGGGAACCCCTCCGAACGTCGGAGACAGGCGTTTTCGAGACACCGGCGCTCGTGCTTGGATTTGGACGGCGGATGATCCAGATGTTCTTCTGCTTACGGAAGGATCATCCGATTGTATCCGGTTGCTGTTGAACATCATTTGGCATCCTGTCGTATCGCTGTGACTGAAGCTATTTGTATGCAGTTTGGGACTTGGGCCATCCTGGCTGGGGGATTGGTTGTTCCCTTTATAGTACGTACTCGTACCATCTCGTACCCACCTAGACACCCAAAACAGATCGATATATATGATATATGAAGGGCTCACCAATTCGACGATGCAATGGCCGCACACGATAAAATTTGACCGTACCTTGGTACCTCATTTGTTTTGCATGTTCCCGCCCAATGTCTAGTCTTGGGACAACTACACAAATTTAGGTATATTGGGTTAATTTAGGTTATAATGCTGCATCCTGCTGGTCATCATGTTAAGCCACCTATATAATGATCATAGGGGCAGTCTGAAAAAAAGATGCCTTACTGTATGTTACGTTCTTCTTGGACGTATACTGGATAACCCTGACTTAGAGC